GCCTCAAAATAACACAAATGCGGTATCTTATAGTTCTGTCGGTTAGCAACCTGACATGTGCCTCAAGGTGTCAACAAGGCTGCATTCCTTTCTGGGGGCTTTAGGGGAGAATCTGCCTCCTTGCTTTTTCCAGCCTACATTCCTTGGCTCGTGGCCCCTTCCTCCTTCTTAAAATCAGCAACTTTGCAACTCCTGACTGAAGCTTCTTCCATAGTCACATCTCCCTCTGATCACAGCCAGGACAGGCTCTCTGATTTTAAAGAACTCATGTGATCAGATTTGGTCTATCCAGATAATCCAGGATCGTCTCTCCATCTCAGGGTCCATATCCTAAATCACACCTGCAAAGTCCCTTTTTACGTTGTAAGGTAACATGGAAGATATCCTGGTGGCACAACGGATTTGAACAACCAACCTTTCAGTTAGTAGCAGAGACCAAACAATTTAACACCACTTGACATTAAAAGGAGCCCTGGTGGCGCAGTGGTTAAGAGCTCAGTTGCTAACCAAAAGGTTGGCAGTTCGTATCCACCAGACAGACCTTGGAAAACCTATGGGGCAGTTCTACTCCGTCCTATAGGGTTGCTATGAGTTGGAATTGACTCGATGGCAATGGGTTTGTTTTGCTTTGTTGGTTTGATGTTCAAAAGGAGCCCTGGTGGTGCAGTGGTTAAGAGCTCGACTGCTAACCAAAAGGTCGGCCGTTCGAATCCATCAGCCACTGCTTGGAAATGCTATGGAGCAGTTCTACTCTATCCTATAGAGTTGCTACGAGTCAGAATCCAATCGACGGCAATGGGTTTGGTTTTTATTTTTTTCTGACATTAAAACATTTACTATATGGGGCAGGAGGGAGGGGGAAAGGGGGGTCATAGTTTAGGAAGTAGTGAGTTTCTGTTTACAGTGATGGGAAATTTGGCAACAACTACGGGTGATGGCCGCACAGCATCATTTAATGTCACGATGTCACTAAATTGTACACCTGAAAAACTTTGAATTGGGAAATGTGGTATATATAGCAGCCCCTGAGTGGCGCAGATGATTAAGCACTCTACTACTAGCTGAAAGGTTGGCTGTTGGAACCCACCCAGAGGCACCTTGGAAGACAGGCCTGGTGATCTGCTTCTGAATGGTCACAGCCTTGAAAACCGTATGGAGCAGTTCTACTCTGCACACATGGGGTCGCCATGAGTTGGAATCGACTCAACAGCAGCTAACCACAATATGTTATGTATATTTTTGCAACAATAAAAAAAAAAAAAGAGAGAAATTCCCTTCGTGGGCAATGTCTGGAGTGATATTGAAAGGAAATGGAGAACCCGAGTGACCGTCATTATTCATTTAACAAATATTTCCTGGCGCCTGTCCTGCGCTGGACCCCAGGGGAAATGGGGCGGATCTGACCGGATGCTGGTTCTACGTCATAGAATCTATGGAGTCAACAGTATGGGATGGAGTAGAGAGGGAGGGGTAAGGGGGTCTCTGAAGCAGGTAAGGACACAAATGACATTAGCCAAGCCTGATCAGAAGGTTTAATTGATAGAAAAGGACATCACGCTTGGTAAAGTAGGGTCAGCGAAAAAGAGCAAAACCCTCCATGACATGGATTGTCAGAATAGCCTTGACAATGCCCTCAAACATACCAAAGATCATGAACATAGCACAAGACCCGGTAGTGTTTCGTTCTGTTATACGTAAGAATGTATACAATGGAGCCAACTCAATGGCAACAACCAGGAGGCTTCCCGGGGAAAGTGGGCCTCGAAGGTGAGTACAGTGTTGGAGGGAAAGGATTCCAGACAAAAGAACACTATGAGCAAAGGCTTGTCCCTGGGAACTGGCACAGATGCTGGGGAGGTTTAGGAAACAAAAAGAGACAGGACCACCGGAAGTGCCAGCTTCCAAGCCCTTGCCCATACAGTCTGCTCGGCTGCTCTCATGCCCCATTTCCTTTTTTTTTTTTGTTTATTGTTGTAGCTTAAGTGAAAGTTTATATTTCAAGTTAGTCTGTTATACAAAAATGTATACATACATTGTTACGTGGCCCTAGCTGCTCTCCCTATACTGTGACAGCACACTCCTCCCTTCCACCCGATTTCCCATGTCCATTCAGCCAGCTCCTGACCCTCTCTGCCTTCTTATCTCACCCCCGGACAGAAGCTGCCCGTTTAGTCTCACGTATCTACTTGAGCTAAGAAGCACACTCTTCACGAGTATTGTTTTATGTCCCACAGTCCAGTGCAATCTTTGTCTGAAGAGTTGGCCTTGGAAATTGTTTTAGTTCTGGGCTAACAGAGAATCCAGGGGCTGTGCTTTCCGGGGTTCCTCCAGTCTCAGTCAGACCATTAAGTCTGGTCTTCTTACTAGAATTTGAGTTCTGCACCCCACCTTTTTCCTGCTCCATCAGGGACTCTGTGTTGAGTTCCATGTCAGGGCGGTCATTGGTGGTAGCCGGGCACCATCTAGTTCCTCTGGTCTCAGGCTGATGAAGTCTCTGGTTTATGTGGCCCTTTCTTGTCTCTTGGGCTAATACTTGTGTCCCATTTCTACTGGCCAAAATCCCAGCTCTCCAGACTCAGAACCAGAGACCTTGACTGTCAGGCCAGTGCCGTCATTTTACAGATGGGGACCCAGGCCCAGAGGAGGAGAGAGAGATACTCAAGGGCACTCATTCCCTCCGCTGAGTCCCTCACTGCACACTTCTCAGGGAACTCCTCCTGTGCCTGGCTCTGGGGACACGGAGGGAGTCAGACCACTGGTGGCACAGAACGACGGGTGGGGCCCGAAGCGGGATCCAGAGCCCCCAGCTCCTCCTCCAGGCCTTTCCCTTGCACAGCCGTCTCAGGCCTCCCTCCTGCTGCCTCTTCCAAGGAGGCTTTCCTAGTTCCCTGCCAGGCCCCTCATTCATCCACTCATTCCACATTTATTTATTGAGCATCTGCTATGTGCCAGGCACATTCTAGGCTCCAAAAATACTGCTGTGCAGGTCACAGAAACTTCCTCCTGGTGCTGCAGTGGGGGAGGGGGGAGTCAGACAAAAACCCAAACCAGCTGCTGTTGCTGACTCCCACTCATGGCGACCCCATGTGTGTCAGAGTAGAACTGTGCTCCACAAGGGTTTTAAATGGCTGATTTTTCTGATGTAGATCTCTAGGCCTATCTTCTGAGGCGCCTCTGGGTGGACTTGAACCTCCGAACTTCTGGTGAGCAGGCAAGCACTTAACCGTTTGCACGAGCCACCCAGGGATGCCATAAACAGAACGCATAGCTATATAATGGAATGTCCCAGGAGGTAAGTGCTGTGCTGGGAAGAATAATAAAGCAGGGCAAGGGGGAGGAGGGAAGGCTCTTTGAGGAGGTGACACCTGGGCCCAAAGGAGGTGAGGAAGCAAGTCACGCAACGATCAAGGATCGTCAGAAGAGTATTCTACATGGAGGGAACCAGAGAACAAAGGCCTGGAGGGGGATAGTGCTTGCGTGTTTGAAGAATGGGAAAGAGACTCGTGTCCTGCACGGGATGATGCTGGAGACTTAGCTAGTTGGGCCCCACAGCACTGGTCTCTCCATCCCATCTCACCCAGTCTTTGAAAATGAGCTGCCAGGGGTGAAGTTTCCAGGGGCCTCTGGCTGCTTCTTCCTGGGTCTTTCTCCATCCGCAGAGGCCAGCACCCGGATGGATGCCCAGTGGAATCACACTTCCCCTAGCCCCCTCATATCTAATCGCCAAGACTAGGAGAGATAGTCCCGATGTACAGCTGAGGAAACTGAGGCTCTGAGCCTTTTCAACATCCTGCACTGTGGCTGCACACAATGGGCTCAAGCATAACAAGCAGTGCGAGGATGGCACACGGCCGGGCAGTGTTCCGTTCTGTTGTATGTAGGGTCGCTATGAGTCGGAACCAACTCAACGGCACCTAACAACGACAACAGCAACAAGCACTGTGCGTTGGGGGATCTGGGTCCTTGGCGCTGTGCCAGGCGCAGAGGGGTCAGTGGCGGCGGTGAGGGCTTTGCTTTGTCACCGTTCCCCCCAGGAGACCTCCTTTGGGGGAGGGTGACCTCTTTCTGGGTTCTGCGCAGGAAGTTTCCAGAAGGACCGGCAGTTCTCCATCGCCGACTTGGTGGAGAAGGGGGTGACAGTGCGGAGTGTGGGTGACAAAGGCGGGCCAGCAGCGGAGGGTGGGGCACCGGTGGGGGAAGGGGCCCGGAAGAGAGCGTAGAGGGAACCAAGAAAGGCGACAAGAGGGATCCAGAGGCGGGGTCTCGCCAGAAGGGTCTCAGGGGCGGAGGTCAGCCTCGAGGAGGGCCGTGGGTGCGGGGTGGAAGGGCCAGAGAGGTCTGCAGGCAGCGGGAGAAGGTCGAGGCCAGATCCACTCAGCCGTTTGAGAAAAGGCGAGGTGGAGGTCGGAGGTCGCAGGAGGCGGGCCGCTGGAAGTGGGCGGGGCTGGGGAGAGCCCAGAGCTCCCTGAGACAGGGTTTCCGGGTCTGTCCCCGCTTGGAGGATTGGGCGGCGGGCGGGAAGGGGCGGGGCAGGCACGGACTAGGGGCGGGAAGAGGAGGGGCGGGCCCGGCCGGGGGCGGGCCCTGGCAG